GTTATTGCACGAAAGCGGTTACATGCGATGTAATGGACAACGGGTTTCATCTCGGCTGCTGGTCTTCGATGAATGTATCAGACAAAATAACTCTTTTATTGCGTATATTTGATATATAGGAACAATAATGTAAAACGACACTGCATGCAAATTGAAGTAAAAATTTCTTGTGCAACTGCAACAAATCAAAATTCCTGTAATTGAAGCTTTAAATAAAATTAATTAAAACTATGATTAGATTTTTTCAATTTCAAGACAAAAAAAATCACAAATCTAGGAATTTTTTGGAATTTTTCTGAATTTTTTGTATCTTTTGTGTTTTGTGCAAGTTTTTAGCACGGCTGTGATAAAAATTAAAAAAGAGATAAATTTTCACGAGCAATCCAAAAGTCGAACCTGGCCTTAGCTATTTTGGTCTTCCAATTAAATTTCTGGCTAAGTTAGCCCAAATCAGGTTAAACTCAATAAAATTATTTAAAATAATAAAGAAAAAACAAGTAAATAAATGTGTTTAGCATTCTTAATAAATAACTGATTAAAGTATGATAGTGTTTTAATAGAAAAACATTCCAAATATCCATTTATTCAAAAAAATTAAAGGAAAGAACAAAGCAATTTATTATTAAAACATTATTCCTGCATTATTCTAAAAAAATAAATAATAATTTTACTTGATATGGCATTTCATTAGTTGATTTCCGATTTCATTTTATTTCAAAAACATCGTGAATTATAAAATTTAGTGTTGGTATATCGTTTTCACCACAGTTAATGTTGTTTCTCTCTCGTGTCTTAAAAACCACAAAACGTCCGAGAAGTTATTCCTCGCGCTGTTTGGCACTTCTTGTTGCTTCTTTCGCACCCTTTTCCAATCTCACACTCACAAAATTATATTCATTATGACTGGCACGTTGAAATCGGATCCAGCTTCTTCTACTTAAAGTGTAATAATTCGCGAAACCACAATGATGTCACTTTCTCATTTCAGCACTCAATTCAATTCCGAGGGCGAGCTACGTGAAAAACGACAACGTCAAGAGAAGTGCCCAGAGCGAAGCAGCATTTTGCAAAAAAGCGCCACCGAACCGATGGAGGCAGCACGATTCAGAGCGCTACAGTGGATTTGCATTAGCAAGCGTATGGCCTTGATCTTGACTTTGATCATTTAAATCAATCTAGAATAAAATTGAGCTGCTTTTGCATTGAAATTTTCTGACTTTTATTCAATTACATTTATAATTACTCAAATTATACATAAAATCAATAGTTATAAAAATAATTATAATTTTAAATATTTTAATTTTCACAAATTTTAAATTGAATAGTGATGTTAAAATAAAATACTTGCTCATGAAATATAGGGGCGCAGACTGTGAGCAAACTGGTATGAAGTCAATTGTTTAAATATACAAAAACCATTTTTCAAACATCAATAAGCTTGATTTATGTCTTAATTTTATTTTAACTTCATCAAATAAATTACATTAAGCCCTAAAATAAATTGATTTCAAATTATTTAATTTTTAAATTCCTTTGAACTGGAAGATTAATTTGATTTTAAAATTTTGTTGAAACAAAAGATTATCTCTGTTGATATAAGCTTTTTTATAATTATGAAAATTAATTTTTTTAATTTTTTTGGAATTTTGTTTTCAAATTTTTTATTAGAGAGAAGCCATTTCTACTGAGATTTATATCCAATTATATTATCTCTCCTTCTGATTAACTTTTTTTCATCTCCTTGATTCAAAATAAATCAAGTTGATCGTGTGTGTAAAAGAGAGGCGGTGAGAACAAACAATCTAAATTGAGAGAAGCAGCTACCATCAAGGGACGGGAGCAACAAAATAAGAAAAGTGATCGTTCGATCCACACAGTGTGTTCATCCGTGCAAAAAAAGAGCCGTCCTCTCCGCTCTCGCTCGTGGGCCAGACTGACCTTGCCTTTTATTAGCACGGCCAAGCGAAATGAGCATAGGGAAGGGCATGGTACGTGTGTGTGCGCGCCGGAGAGCAAACGAACCGACGCTTTTTTAAATTATATGTACCTATCTGCCAATATTCTTATCTGAGAGACGCTTCACCTTCGTTGCCTACCGCAATTTTGAGTTGGTGGAGCATGCAAGGAACAGGATGTGAAAAAAATAATAATAAAAATTCACAAAGGCGACCGCCCGCCGCCGCCGACAAGGCGAGTCAAATTGTACACACAGACACATGATGCGGTGAATATTATTATCCTGGCGGTAGGAAAGGCAAATGCGCGAAATTGAATTTGTTTGTAAATTATTTTTTTTTCTGTTTTTGGCGATATTTAAATTAGACAGTTTATGAAATTTTTAAAAATTTAGGACAGTTTTTGAAAATAAATCAATATTATTATTATTTATTCTTCGCAGTCAATACAAAAATTTTTAAATGAAGAAAAAAGGGAAGAAAGGGTTTACAACTATAGCAGATGTCTGCTAAAACGCCCGACATCAAAAGAGATTCGGCCACTGCGGTAAAACCACATTGAAATATCTTTAAAAAAATGTTTGAATATTTTTGGGGAATCAACAAAAATTGAATACAATTTTTGACATTTTGGTGCAGAGTGGTTAAACTTGAAATTCGAAATAAATGTGTATGTTGTTTAATTTACTTCTTTTATGATATTGTTACTAAAGATTGTTACATTTTTCTTTTTATTTCTGAAAAACGTAATTAATAATAGGAGATAATATCTTCACTTTAAATCTGACACTCGGCAATATGTTTGTCAATTAGTTCCGTGTATTTTGCAGTGGTTAACGAGCTGTAGTGCGGCGCACGTATGCAAATTTGACATTTCATAATTCGAGCGCACGCAAAAACACAATAATCGCGCGGCGCCAGCAGGCGGGCAGACCTTGTATTTTATTGTTTATCTCGCCTTAATTCCCGCTACTTGGGCATTTCAAGTATTCCAACCGCCACGGTACGCACTCTAAATAAATAAAGCATTACAAGTTAGTGCTCTGCGAGTACGACTATTAGTATTGTGAGCGCTGTGTGATACCCAAGCAAACGGAACAGTCGCGAGAATGTTTGAACAAAGAAAAAATATGAATTTTTCAATTTTTTTAAATTTTGTCAAGAGAGAGAAATAAGATAATAATTGCATTAGCTGTCCTTCTTTTCAATGTATTAATGAAAGTAAAAAGAAGTATTCACTAAAATTATCATTTATTTTGAATTTAAGCCGATCTTAGCTTCAATATTTAATTTGATAAATATTTTTCTAAACTGTAATGTATGACTGTGGTCTTTATTAACTCGGCAATTTTGTTAAAGTTTTGCTAGTGGTTTTCTCCTCACAATGCATTAAATTTATAAAAATTATTGTAACAAAAGGTAGAAATACTGTGCAAATTGTCTGTAATGGTGTAAGAATGAATATTTATTTAAAAAATATAAAAAAATGTTTTGTGGTAGAATTTTACGATCGAGGGTTGATACATGGCGATTTGAATTTTGAATTTAAATTCCTGGGTGGGTTTTGCGAGTTTTTTATCAAAATTTTTTAAGAAAAAAACACTTCTCTTGACCACCGCTCTCTTGACCATAGTTGAAATAGAAAAACACTTTCAAAAATTATTAATTATTATTATTTTTTTTAATTATCATTTTACTATTTTTACAAAATAAATTTTATATAATTTAATTAGACCATTATATTTGTCAACTTTTTTGCTGAACTGGTGTAGTGAGCTTTCCTCGATTGAAACTTTTTTGCAGCGGTGAGAAAGGCAGGCGGGCTGGCATTACTTATGATAAGCGTTCCGGCGGCATTACTCGGCCGCAAACGAGCAAATAAACAAACAAAACGCACGCCACTTGATTGTTTCAAAATAATTGCACCTGCGAGAAAAAAAAGGTTCTTGACCCGCGCGTCTCACTCTTCCATCTTATCTGCTCGGATGCATATATATCTTTTCCTTTTCGCGTTTTCTCTAGCCATGGGTCACGTGTCTCTAATTGAGGCGCAATTCAATTTTGCAACACCCTTCGGGTCACTCGACCCTCTTCTCTTGCGAGATCACGTAACCATCCATCCATTCCGCAAAGTGCCGCTTTTCATTAGACCGTGGACAACTTGCTCCACAACTTTTTACTTTTCGCACACGTCTGAAGTGATGGAGGAGCACTCTTTTGCATGCCTGCCCTCCGCAACTTGGAGCTTTTTGATTCCTTTCTGAGCATCGCGAGATGATTAGAAGGGGATGTGGAGCGCTTTGTCTGTCCCCCTTTTTTGCATGCAAATGTTGAGTAACGTTGCAAAACATTGATCTCTGATAATTTAACTTCAAAGTGCAAATCCATTCATTCATTTTTTTATGGAGCATTTTGAATATACCGCACGTTCAATAATTTTCAATAAGGGTTTTTCCGTTTGTGTGAGGCGTTTAATTACATTATTCTTTAAACTGCACTTATTTTATATTTTTTTACATGTAAAAATGAAGCCAAGTGGATAAATGAATTTGATCGCTGATAACAATGTTAATATAGTTATTATTGTTATTTTAAAATAAAATATTTCAATAATTAATTATAATCTTTTATACCATTTCCGTAAATACAGAGATTTTTGCAAATTGTTAGTTTGGAAAATTCATCTGTGGACTATTTGTTCCTGTTATAGCAGATAGCAATTATTATTTTTGTTTTCAAGATTAAAAATATTCTATGTTGTGTTAATTGATGGAGTTTGAAATAGAAGAGAATTTTGTTAAGTTTCAAGGCCTGCACACACTATCCTTTCTTGAGATCTTTCCTGCCTTTTTTTATAAAAACATGAGACTATTTTTATTTTTTGTTTCAAATACCATAAGATAATACGAAGAAAAATTATTTTTCATTACTCTTCCAATTGTAAGCAAAATAATTCATTTTAATCACGATTTAATCTAATAAACTGAATCAACTTATTTTTATACACGTCAATACACGTTAAAAAAAAAGTGCAATCGTACTTACTTGTAAATTTTGTTGGTGATGATGACACTGGCTAAAATAATTAGGCACATATATTGTCACTGATTAAAAAAAAGCACTGGTAAAGCCGGGCGTCACATACTGTATGTCATATTATTTGGCACACAAAACACAAAATTATCTCCTGCAGCACTGACCTGGCACCGACCGCGGCTACTGCCAGTTGCCACTACATACTCTCGTCAAGACACGCGTTGATTGGTTTTCATTTGCACACGCATAATACAATAATACACAGCAATGTTAAATATTTTTCTACTTTCCTCTTCTTGCAATTTTCTTTTGCATTCTTTCATAGCCAATCGTCGGTCGTCCAATACAATGAGAGCAAGTTTTAACTTGTTGAGCGCAGAGAGTGAGTCACTGTGTTGGGTTGAGAGGGTAGAAGAAGAGAGGAGAGGAGTCATCCAGATCGAATTCCGAGGCAAAAAAAGTCAATTTGGCATAAAGACACAGAACGAAGAATCGACAAAACGGAAAATATAAGTAGCCAAGGTCTAGCCAAGGTCACCAAGGAAGAAGTTTGGGTAAGAAGGAGGGCATTGTGCTGTGCAGCAAACCAGCAACAGCAAATCGTATGTCAAGTGTCAGTTGGCGTCTGTCGTCTGCTTCTGCACGGCTGCACGCAGGCAGACGAAACTTGCAAGGTGAGAAAAGAGAACAGAAGAAAATCAAGCAATTTATAACTTAATTCAAACTTTTGCAGCGTGGATAGTGTGGAAATTTTTCAATTTTGTGCACATATGTAGATGGGCGCAGTTTTGATAGCGATATATTTATTGATCGCAGGTGAGGATATAAATTAATTTCGAAATGAATTGCATGTGCGAAAATTGCGCGTGTGTTTTTAAAAATTTTGTCTTATCAGGGCGTGTTATAGGATATTAGGATGGGATTACCGAATTTTGAGCATCAGCAGCAATCACCTGTCAAGCCGGAAAGCTTAAGCCAGCGGCAGATTTTTGGCAGTGGAAGTAGAAATTATTCTGAAGGCCGTCATCGGCGAGATCATCAGTTTGCACCACATGCCCGAGAAACTCTTACGATCACTTTCACAAAGAGGCAGGGACGTCGAGAATGCAGTCTGGTAGATTTTGTGCAACGACAAGATTCAGGCATCTTGAATTCTCAAATTGAGGGTATGTATGTGTATTGATTGAATTGTTAATCTAATATTCTCTATTCTATAAAAAATGTCATTTTTTTTCAATAAGTATAACCTTTTAGCTTACCTCGTCAAGCAAGTGCACGATATTTTGTTTGAAGGGGCTGAAGGAACAATTTATTCCACTGTGCCATTTTACAATGTTGATCGCACCTATGCAAATCTGCTCTCCTTTCAACCTGCCCTGTCTTCAAAGCTGCTAGCCAAGTATATAATACTAATTTTTAGATTTCTATATGATATCTATGTTGTCGTAAACGTTTTGAAATATTAAATTTATCCTTTCAGATGCATATGTACATGTGTTATGGAAATGGATAATCTTGAACTCAACTGTTGGGACGAGTGCTTGTTTGCACTTTTACACTCTCTTAAGCTGCATCCTCGGTGGCCTGATCTCTTCTGGGATATGGCCCTGGTTGCACCAGAGATCATTAAAGGATCACACAGGAATGACAAGAACAAGCTGACTCTATTTCTGGCCAATCTATATTTGGGAGATGATTCTAAGATGATGTCATTTCTCATGTGCAATTCATTGATTTGCGGGCAAGTTAGAGCTGTGAGAATTTTCCTAGAATGGGAGCAAAAATGGCCTGATGCCTTGCTAGGAAACAATTTCATCTCGAGATGTATTTACTACTGCTGCTGCAAGCTGCTCAAACAGAGCTTCCACGATCTTCCTCATAAGGTACTAAAATTAAAGTTGAAAATTATTTTAGTAGTGATTGTAAAGTAAAAATAATTAGAAAACTGGTTCATTAAATATTTTATATCTAGCAGATTTCTCGAAAGGATTGTAACTTGGCGGAACTGCTTCCCAAACTGGCGTCTCGATTTGACGAGGCCAAATCAGATGCCCCAATTGCAGCACTACTGATTTCAACTGCCTCTAAAGCTGCCTTTCGTTCCGTGGTAGATGAAATGTTTGCCATGGCAAAGTCTTACGCACAGAACATGGAGGCTGCCAAAACTGCTGTCATGACTTTGGGATTGATTGGGCACTACAATCCTCATGATGAATTCTATCTCGCTAGTGGAAAAGGCCGCATTATAAATTTAATGAGACATTCTGCTACACCAGAGGCGTTGGTTGAAACATGTGCAGCTGCACTCATCATGATAACTGGCCCAGAGTATAAGAAGCTTGTGGGCAAAGTATTCTGCAACTTTAGTACTTCTAAAGTTAGTGACAACTTCCTGGACGCTCTTAAAGAGTGGAGCTTGAAAAATATCCCACCAAGGGTAAATTTTTTCCCTTTATTTTTATTATAATGCAATAACTCAATATTTGCTTGAGCATATTTTTTTTTTCATTTTGGATCGGATCATCAATTATTTAAAAATTTTATTGAAATTATCGTGCTTGCTTACATCCTAAATTTAATTAATATTTTTCTAAATAAATTGCAGCTCTTGCACAGCACATGGGATGATAGAGAACTATGCAAATTGCTTGAGAAAGATGCCAATGACAGAACCTTACAATATGTTTTTGATGCTGATGAAATGATGGAAAGATTCATGAAACAATTTTCAAATGGAAATGGCAACTATCAATATCCCACTCATCAGCAGTATCCCAGAGAAAGTAAATAAAAAATCATTGTTCAAAATAAAGAATTCTCTCAAATTTATGTTTTAGTGGTGAGCAGCCAAGACACGGCAGTGAACACTGAGGTATAAATATGCGTTATTTTTAACATTTTAAATAAATGTGATTTTTAAATAAAAGCCACAAAGAAAGAGACCTGCCAGTAGTGAAAGTACTTCAAACGACGAACCAAATCATAAGAAAAAAAAGGACTTGAATGATCAGGTCAATGAAAACAACAAATTCAGTGGCAATAAACCAGAAACAGATAGGGAAATTCCTCCAGGTAAATTCTCATCTTTATGGAATTTTTAATTTAAATAACAACATAAACGTTAAAAAATTAGAAATCGAAGGAAATGATGGAGAGAGCTATTGTGAGGAAGACTTTGGCAGTAGCTGTGACTCGGACAGAGAGTATGAAGAGGACGAAAAAGAAGATTTCTCAGAAGAGGAATTCGTCAGTGATGAAGAAAGTGATTATAATTGCAAAGCAGTTACTGTTACCGGCAACTTGGAATCCAACAAGGAGGACGAAGAAGAGAGCTATTTGATGGAAGATCGTGATGAATCCGACAATAGCGTTGAGCAGAAAAACCAATCTTTAGCAGATTTCCTTGTGCAACCAACAGCTTCCAATGCTTACAGTCAAGGTATTTGAATAATAGAAAATAAATAAACAATATATCACAATATATGTCGTCAGCTTTTTAAATATGTAACTTGCTAATTAACTTTTTGCAGAGTCAGTTGACCAGAAAGTTGCGAGGGCCGTAGGAAATAGATTCTATCATAACTGCTCCCATATTGATATTGATGAAATTAAAAAGCGGATTTGCAAGATTTCCCCTGTGCCAACATCTCGACAGCTGGCCAAGTAAGGTCAAAATTTTGAGAATATTCCAATTTTTATTAAACTTTCATATAATAGAAGCCTGGTTTGTGTAAACTTTATCAACAATAAGAAATGGAAATTCTGGATTAAGTGGCCCCTACTGTCTCTCATCGACATGCTGCCTCAAAGTGCTTGGCCTGATTTGGAGAAGGCATTTTTGGCAGAGATTGTAGATGCCATTACAAGCAAGAGTAATGTAACAAAAACGGCCGAGGCCCGTCGGCTTGGACAAGTAGCTGCTTGGTTTTGCCTCCACCCAAGAGAAAAGTCTAGTTTGATGACTGCTGTCATGTGGCAAATCCAATGCAGAGGGGGCCCGAACGTCATAGGTTCCTGCCTTGGAATTCTCGAAGTGTGGCCAAATTTCCTAGAGGAGAAAACTCAGTTGAAAAGGTGGATGTTGGCACTTGTCGAGAAGAAAATTAAGGATGGTGACGACTATTTGTCTGGCCCACACGTGCAGCTCATTCTAAAGGTATAAATAAAATTGCTTAATTTTTTTTCTTAATTATAATTAAACTCATGCTTTATAAATATTTAATTTTTGTTTTAAAGATGCTTAATTTGCAAAGTCAGCTCCAACCCGTGAGAAATGAATTGCTGCGTGACTTAGTTTTAAGTGAAAAAAGCGCAAAATACTGCACCACCTTCATGACTTGTACCAATCGAGTTACCTTCAATCAAGTGGTTAAAATATTGGCTCTTCTTGCCCGGTATCCTAACCAATCCACTGCCATCACAGCCATTTCTTGCATTGCCTTGATTGGACACAACTTACTGAATGGAAATCACAAAGGAGTAAACCTGGATCCGCTGATTGGCATTCTGGAAAATTTGGCTAGCCATAACATTCCAGAAACAGTGATGGAAAATGTTGCAATGGCTTTAGTTGCCTTGATTGGAGCAAAGGATTTGCCAAGGCTGAGAAAAGCTCTGCAAAGAATTGATGCAGACTTAGTTAGTCTTCAATTTAGAAACACGCTGAAAGCTTGGAGTTTAAGAAATCTAGCACCAAATGTAAAAGTTTTGGCTTTTGTAATTTGTATTCTTTTTTATTTTTAAACTTGCTTATAGGTTGAAGCTGCCAATGATGCTCAGGAGCAAGACGAACAAATTGTGCGTGGAAGTGAAGACAATTTCTTCTTTGAAAACATTCTGGGGGCCATGGCGAATGACTTAGATGCTGACAACTAGATTACTCTGACCCATAATTGTTTCATATTATTAAATAATTTTGCCTCATGAGAATTTACAAAATGTCTACTTTATATATTTTATACTTACTTTAATTTTTAGTACATTACAGATGCAATGTACAGCAAAACACTGTTTTGAATCATTTTAATTGAAGTGGAATAAAGTTGTTCCTTCAAATAAAATAACGATGAGTTATTTTTTTTTTATTATTATATATATACATAGAAACAAAGGTATTATAATTTAAAATTGATTTAAAAAAAATGAAATAAAAATTATGACTTTAAATATATAAAATATTGATAGACTCAGTTCTCATCAATGCAATTAAAATAGCATAAATTGTCCAACATCAAGTAAATGCAGCTTTTAATTAATGCAGCAAAATTCCAAATATGGAATTAAAAAATAAGAGAAAGGGTTACTTAAAACGCAAGTTAAGCTTGTGTAATTAAATCAGCTCTATGTGCAGTAAATTTACTATCTCCATTAATTTTTCTTCACTTTGATTATAAACTCAATCCACTTTTTAATTTTTTGATCAAATTTCTTCGTGCAACGTTGATAAAAAAAAATTCTAGTTCTTAATTTGAACGAGAATTGAAAAGGAATTTTACATCCTCTCCTAAAATTTTAATTTAAACACATTCTGATTAATAATTAGGTACTCTTAATAATTTAGAATGTGTAAGCCGAGAAACAAAAGTTTTGTTTTGTAAAATACATTATTTTTATACATTCAGCTGTAATAATGCATTGTGCAACGTGCAAACTTCCAGGAGGGATGCAGAACGAAGCGCCGTGCGTGTAGATTATGGAAAAGTACGACAAAACTGCAGGCTGCTATTTTCTAATTAAAAGCGATTGCAACTTTGTGTTTGCATTTAATTTCCAATACACGTTCGCACCGAAGCGAATTGTATTTTTTCGATTACGGTTCGTCGAACAGAAAACAACTTTTGCGCTGCAGCCGGCGCGCCGCTCTTGGCAGCGGTGAATGGAAAGGGATGACAAACATGAGCATTTTTAATAATCAATTAATCACGATTGATAAAAATGGGTACGTGTTTCCTGCCATTCAACGCTAATAAAGAAAATATCAGCCAGCCAGGAGTTGTTTTTGCGCCACAAAAAAGCACTATTTCTCCATCATTATTATTATTACGAAGAGTAAAAAATTACATTTTGAATGAAGTGACATTTGTTCATCTTTTTAATTTTAGCATGCGACTCATGCTAGTCTGTGCTAGTCAAGAAAAAATAAAAATTTGCATTGTTAGTGGAAATTTATAAATGATAAGCTTTATGCACGACCATTGTAGCCAAAAATAAAAATGAAAATTTCAAAATTTGTGAAAGATCATATCGATCATATATTATGCAGTGATATACAAAGTTTAGTTCTTGACCCATGATTGTGAAAATGTACTAAAAGTAGGCATATGGTAACAATTAAATGAGTGTAAAGGGAAAATATGAATGTGCAAAAATTATGCCTACATAAAAAAATTATTAAAACGCCAAAATTAAAATTAAGTTTAAAAATAAAGATTTGAAAATCATAACAAGATTGATCTCTGATTTCGAATTTGAATGAATTACCAATATCTATTTTATTTTATTTAAAAAGAATGATTTGGGATAATTGTTTTTTAATTCATTTTATTTTGGCCTGTATTTCATTTTTAAATTAATTACGTCAAGTGCATGCATGAAAATAATTTTAATTTTTAAAATTTAGATGAATTATTAGAAAAAAATGTGGGAACATTTTGAATTATTAGAAAAAAATGTGGGAACATTTTACGTTATCTTCTAGCAAAAATAAAATGAGAATGAACAATGAACAAGTTCTTCCGTTCTCTTGTGCAACACAAAGAAATTCTAGCCCACATTTATAATATTTATTTATGAATCTATTTTACTTTTACAAAATACAAATTGCCCTTCTTATCTCATCGAACAGAGCGGCGGTGCAATGAATTTCAAGCAAACTACCACCTTTGCTCGGGAAAGGAAGCAAAGTGGCGTGCATCGCATGCACAAAAACGGCCGCGCCATAACTGCAGTTTCCTTCTTCTTTTATATATTCGTCTCAAATGTATAAGTCTCATAAATAGATGGAAATGTAAATAACCTAGGCGCGCACTAACTTACGGGGGTGCTTTATTCCCGCTTGGAGGGAAACACATTTTTCTCCTCTCCGATAACAAGCGAATTATTTATTTTCTCAGAAAGATATATCTTATTATTTTACTGCGATTTCGTCAGCACAGAATTGGTGGCCGTGTGTGCGCGAGTGTTTCGCTCTTGCACAAGAAAATAAATAAAATAATGCACCTATGGCTTATGCGCGGAAGGGTATTGCACAGAGAGGAGAGATTCCACTGTCGCTATGCAAACAAAATCAGGCCAGACACTGTTTGATATAGAACTTATAGAGGAAAATGGAGCAAAAAACCAAATGAGGTTAGATTGACTAACTAGATGACAGTCGTTGCTTTTTGCGGAATATATAACATTTTCAAGTGCGCTTGCTGCAACTGCCTTTGAAAATAAAGGAAAACCAAATTATATTGATGTAATATAAAAATCGGTAAAATTGGAAAATAAGGCAGTTAAAATATTCTATAAATAGACTGGTCATTTTTGTTATAAATGCACATCTTTGTGAATCGATTATATTACTATTTACATTTTCTTTTCTTCATTTTTTCTTTGCGCACAAATATTTCTTTATTATACCATTATACCTCAACCAACATAAACAAATGCAAAATTTTTAAGGTCTAATTTTAATTGCAATTTCCCTAGGTCTGCAACAAATTTAAAAATGACTGCAGTTTCATTTCAATTCTGATCATGGCAATATATATGATTAAAAAATTAAAAAACAATATTTTCCATCAATGAAAAAAATCCTTTTTTCACTTAATGAATTTCCCCCAGGGCCAAATTCTATACCATAACTAATTACAATTATTGCATGCTATTAAAATCTAAATTTTACTAAATTTCCATAAATCAGCAATAAAGTTGATTTTATTGCAAAAAAAAAATATTTATACCAGATTTTACTTTACAACTTTCTGGTATTTCAAATTCATTATGTTAAAATTATTGGCGGTATATTTTAATTTTCTATTCAAAAATAAATTAATGGGGGTTTTACTACACTCCAGGAGCCCTTTTTTCTGCTGTTAATTGGATGTGCCGGTTCAAGAATATGGAAAAATTCTCATTTTCCCCTTCTCCTTTTTACTTAATGCAAGAGATCAGCAATTTGATTTTGTGTGTTTGTCACACCACGCAGCATCATTATAAAGCGCCCTCAAAACCATTGAGCTCTCTATTCAGTCAGTGTATATCTCTCTGACCTAACAAACGAGTCTCTCATAATTGGAGAGTAAAAAATAATAGCAGAGGCCAGATCCACCACGAACGCGCGCACCACTGATTTAATGAAATCATTATCACACTTGTTAGCGATATCGCGCTGATTACAACCCCTCGCGCGTGTTTGCGAGAAAAACTCAATGCCATTCATTACTGGCAAGGGGCACAAACAAAAATAATCACCTCTCCTTTTCTCTGCATTCGCACAAAGAGACCCCCTGTGTCCTGCTCATCCTTTCACACACGCGCTGCATTCAAATCGCAGCGGTTTCAATTATTTTTAGGATAATTACTCCACAGGTCACAACGAAGCGTAAGGGTATTAAAAAATTAATCATTCAACGTGTTGCAACTTAGTGATTAAGAAGAAAAATTTTCATCCAAACTTGCGAAATGATTGAATTTATTAAATTTTGTCAATTGGAAAGGTTGTAACAGACACAATCATATGAAATTTGTGCTTGTTCTTTAAAAAAAAAATCTCATTAAGAATCACTAAATCTGCAGAAGGCTATTGCGTTGTCCAATTAATGTGAATTGATCAATATGACTAAAAAATTTAATTTGGTGATAATGCATGTCAAAATGAACAATTTTGTTACAGGCATCAAATTGTACTTTTCACATTATTCTATATTCTCATTAAGGATTCTCAGGTTTGCTGAGGTAAAAACCAAATTAAAATTACTTTCGGATTGCTTGAAAGGAGTCGAGTAAATCCTTTTAATGTGAAATTTAGACACCAACGCTTTAGTTTTCCAGTTTTCAAAAAGGCACTTGGCAAAGACTTACAGATTTTCCGTCTTCTATGCTTGTAACGCAGCAAACAATTGGTCCGATTTCCCTTCCCAAAATACTTTCCAGGCCGAACTCCTTAAAATATTAAAATTGTATTATTTAAACATCAAACATGGATCCGAAAAAAATTAAACCTCGTCCTCGTCCCACCCTGGCAAGATTATTCCAATTGTGCTCTGATGCAACTATGAATAAAACAAAATAATTGAAATACAGATTATAATAACAATAATTGGCAGTACCTTTGTAAATATTTTTGCTTCTCTATCATCGCAGTATTGGTATTCTCGAGATGGACTGAGGTAGACGCTCAGAGCCACTCTGCTTGAAAAGGGCCCATCAGATCGGCATATTGAACAACACATAGCATTATCAGGAAGGTCTTGCAACAATTCACTTCCACAGTTGCAGCAAACAGGCCACGAAAAGGAATTATCCTCGTCAACCTCACAGACAGTCCCTGTATAAGTTTATTCATTATTTAAGTTTTTTGATGCGAAATTGGAACTCGCCTACCTTTCACTTTGACTAGGTCATGCTTATTGGTAGATGCGGACAATTTTGGAATTTCTGGATTATAATTTTTCATTTGGCTCAAGTTGATATTTTCAAGCCAATCTGTAGAGCTCAGGAAAAGATGAGATGATGGACTTTCAATGTCACATATGGATGTAAACTCATCTGTTGATAATTCACCTAAAAATTAACAGTTAAAATAAAAATTGTTTTAATGGAAGTAAGAGCAATGGAATGAGAATTTAAAAAAAAAATGTCTAAAAAAATTGAATAGATAATTCATGGCTGCAAATGAAACTATTTGTAATTCCTTTCCATGAATTTTATCCAAATTATTGTTTTATATTTCATTGTTTTGAACTTTCCTTGAAATCATTTCCGAATTTTGGAATAAGTTTTTCAAAATAAATTTATAAACACCTTTTAAAAAGAGTAAGTTCTGGAGCATAACAACACAGCCAGAATTTAACTTTGGTACCACTGTTTGGTTTCTTACAGAAATAGTGTGGTATGGAGCATCACCAACACCAACGCAATCATTTGGAACAGAGCAGTACATATGGCTTGCTTCGTACGCCAAAAACTTCATGGCAACACTAATGCGTAAATTGCTCAATTCCTGTCAACAAATTAATCAGTAAATATACAAATATTTACTTTTCAATCTTACTGGGTCAATAGAGGAAATTTTTGATAGCAGCTGGCGAATCCTTGGTTGCAAATCATCACATGGTTCAATAGCACTTGCCCTGCCCGCTTTGAACTTGTAGACGACAAGTAAATTTGTGTTGTCCTTGGCATAAGTAGAGAGCAAACTTAAAATATCAGGTCGTCTGCAAAAAAATGTCATTGCAAATTAGAATAAGTTGATAGTAAATACAATTTTTTTGTGAAATTCTTTTGAAAATCCAATTATATAATTGAAAAATCTCTAATTGGGGTCACTGGGAAAAATTGAATTTTTTTTTGTAAACTACAAACTAAAAAGATATACAAAATAAAATAAGGTAGGTTTAAGTTTACACTTCCTTGATCATGGAAACAAGTTTGAATGGGTTTATATTTCTATCAAGCAAGCCACCCAGGAACTTATTTTCCTTCTTAAATTTTTTTTAAATAATAATTTTTTTTCATATAAATTGCATTTTACCCCTAACGTAGTTTCAACTAATGAAATATTGTACCTTGCAATGTCCATTCTTCTGTTTAAAGTGAGTCCTTGCAAAACATAGCTGTTTCCCTCCTTGACAGATTCTCTCAAGTTGCCCTTCAATTCCACAAAACAGAATGTTCCTAACGCATCTTGTCCGAGCATGGTACAAATCTCTTCACCTGCCTGATTGCATTGGGACAAACATAGTTTGTCTCCCTGAGCTCTCCTGGAAATAAATAATTGTTTCGAAGAAAATTCAATGTCAATAAATTTACCTTGAAATAAAAATTTTCTGGCATGCAAGTTTCATTTGCAAATGGGCTGATGACTTTTTAGCGTAGGCTTCGACTGCTTCAGTTATAGAGAAATTGCTTTTTTGAGATTGTTCTTTTTCTTGATTGGAGCTCTCAAGCTCCTCAACGGCGTGGAGTCTCAAACCCTTTGAAACATCATTTTCTATCAACAGGAAGTCCATCATGTCCTGACCACGTTTTGGCAGTTTATAGGTGCAGTTCGCAGGACAAATACTTGCATCTGCAGATAAAATTATAAAATTCAATGCAAATTTTGTTAATTCATTCATTTAGCGTCAAACTTTTTGAACAGTGACAGGAGAACTCCTTTGAAATAGGAATAGGCTCATGTAGATCGGAATTGTAATCACAAGGTTGCTCCACTTTTTCAAAAATATTGATGGAAATTAGTGTGGGTATTCCAATTGCTGACGAGTCAAAAGATTGCCTAGATATATTTAAATTTATTAATTTATAAAAGTTAAAAACTTGTTTGATTACCATGGGGGACAAATCTTGATGAAATCACCAGTTTTGATTTGGTCTTTGCATTGTTCCTGCTCCAAAATCAAAGCTGCCTTTTGCAAACTTTGTGAAAATCTGCCGTGAAGGACAATTTTGCTGCCGAAGGTGCTTAAATTCAAAATGTGCAAAACTAGGCCTTTTTTACTCTGCTTTTCTCCACTAAGCCTTTCATGCAACCACATTCGATGAGAAGATCTTTGCCGATTTTTAAGTTTTTGCAGCTGCTCGAGCAAGCCATTTCTAAAAAGTATAATAATTATGGTTAAATCAGGTTAAATGTTAAAAACATATTACACAAAAAATATAAAAGATTTACAAACTTTCTAGGTTTCTTCGTTCTTTTAGTCGAGTCTAGCAGAGGTAAGTAATTTCCAGACGCATCTTTTATGGGTTCAGAATCTGTTTGAGTCCTTGGAACAGCATCTGAAGAAGAAGAGGCACTTTGGCTCTAGAAAGATTCATTATAATTATGAAAGACAGAGTTTGTAGGGAACAAACTCACAGGCCCAATGATTAAGTTTTCACTGCTATTTAATTCTTGAGAGGACGGACATTCAATGAGATCCTCCTTCTTTTCCTGGCTTACATCGACTATGTTGACGCTTTTGGAGAGTTTCACTCTTGACCAATTTCGCTGACTGAAAATTACTGGAGAGCCAACAGGACTGATCTGTTGAGTGTTGCTTCTGAGGATGACTGGTGATTTTGTTGGGCTGTCAATGATTTCCACCTTATCTTGGGTTTCTTCATCAACTATGTGGTCAGCTTTGATGGCAATAGTTGGTCTGGTAGCTCTTCTTTTTGCTGAAATTACTGGAGATAATGGATTTCCAATAACTTGAACCTTCTTCGGCGTTTCCGTCTCTCCATCAAGAATTTTCCTTTTCCTCCGTAGCACCGGCGACGTTCGCCTTTTGATCTCTAAAATAGGACTGGCAGGACATTCATCATCTAAGATTAGAGATTAAAATTGAGTTTTTTTTGTAAATAAATTGTTTACCTTGGGACTCAAAGACAATAGTATTTTTTCCATCGTCAGGCAGTTTTCTGTCCTTCTTGAACAGAACTGGGGACGTTGCTCTTGTCAGGTTCAGATCGATTTTCTTCACATCTCTGCTAACCGACGGTTTAGACAAACCACTCGTCCAAGAGGCGCACGAGTCGAAGTCCAAATTGATGACAACACTGCTTGTGTTGACAGCAGAGGAGACTAGATTTTTCTTGTCTCCATTCTCTTCGTCCGAAGAGCTGCAATCGACGATGGTGTCCAGCTGAGAGCACCGTCGAAAACCTGAAGAGCTAGAGCTGCTGAAGAGCGGGCGAGACCTTTGGCTTCCGCAGAAATCCTCCAGCAAACGTTGCCACTCCTAAAAAAAAATGAAATTGCAGAAACTGGTTTTAAAAGTTTCTATGAAAGTGCGTAAATTTTTCCCCCTTAATTTTGATTAACTTTTTCTTTGCTGTTTTCTGTAAAACGTTTTCACATCATGCTGAATAAAGTTGAGATTATCTTTCACTCTTTTTATTTAATTTTACCTCTTTTGATTTTTCATTAAGATTTTTATCATTAAGGGGAGGCTTTTGCTAAAGAAATACATACGTCCGATTTATTTTGAGATGGCAATTTTTCTCCAATTTTGCATTGGTTTGTAGATGTCAGTTCCAAGGAGACGTATGTAGTGAGAAAAATTTATGTAATTGGAAAACCTGAATTTTTAAATTTAATTTTGTTTCTTATTAGGAATTTTTCAACATACTCAAAAAAAGCAAAATTTAAAGGAATAAACAATGGATCTTTGCATTTTACAATTCTCACAAATCATGTTAACAAAACTGCTTGACACATAACATACCTTCATGATTTCACGTTACTTTTACTGCTTAAAAAAGTTTTCAAACCGGAATATTTTATTTTAAGGCTCGATTGCTCGAATTTAATTAAATTTTTGCGAAACCAGAGAAAAAAGAAACCGAAAGAAACGTAAACAAAACTCCCAGCATGCCGGCGGTGGATACTAGCGACGCCAACAGGTTGGGACAGGCATTAATTCATCGACTGAAACTTTACGGCGCGCAAATAAAAAACGATCACTCTCACAATTGCCAAAATCCTGGCAGACAAATTTATAATTTATATTTTCAAAAATTATCATTTAAAAAAAATTCAAAATCCAGGATTAATGCTCGTGCGCGGCTTTTTTCATTATTTTTCTGTTGAAATATTGCAATGGTGGTTTTGACGTTACTACAAATATCGAAGCGTGACACGGTGGCCCATTATTATATCAGTTTGTCTGATAGTGACCTTCTCATCGCCACCCACGCAACGAGATAATGGAGACGAGCAATAAAAAATAACCAGTATTAATATAGTGTTTACATAAGAGGGTCACGCAGTGGCTGAATCAGCCAGAAAAAGTAAAATCTTTTTCCACCTGCATCATAATATAGAATTAATACTTCGTTTGAAATGTTAAAAAATAAATTTCAGCCTCCCTTTAATTTTTAAATTTAAAAGTGATGATTTGATAATTTCAATTTCAAATGTTGACATACTTGAAATTTTCAGCTTTCAAGCCAAATGCTTTAAGCTTATTTTATTTCAATTTACAATTTTCAATCTTTATTTTTTTATTTTAGACCAAAGTAGGGGAAAATTTGTACTTTGCAAGGATGAAAGATAATTTAAATTGCGTTGTAATTTTTTTGCTTTGCACAAAACGCACATCACGTGACTATAGATATCTTCTGTAATTATAATGTGCATCACGATGTCTATTTTAAAGGCGCATTATTTTTTTCAAATAATTGTTTCCGACCGGCGATTCAGTTGGTTGCCTTTTTGCAGAATCTCTTGATGAGTAATTCAAACGCGACGCCACTGCGCGACGCACAACAATTCAATTTGGTTCTCAAATTACAATTCATCATTGGAGGGGCCTGTCCATTTAATTTTTTGCAATCGCTTTTATAACCCAATACTTTCCTCTGACAAAGCTCTCGGGGAAGTTAAAAACTTGTTTGTTTTCTTGGGGCGAGTGTAATAAGACGATTAGTGCAGCGCGGCTTTTTTCTTGGCTGCCCAGGTTCATTCGCCGTCGGTCGGCCGTGGTGTGCTTTTGGTGCACACAATATGCTGCTGCTGACGCGGGCGCAATTTCTCACCATTACACATGCATTGCTGTTCTCCTCATTTTTCCAGCACTCAGGTATGTTGACCTTTGACTAAAATATAAAATTAAAAAACACTCGAAACTCTTTTTATTTAACAATATATATCATCATAATTCAAATGTTGTATTTTCAAAAAAATGTTCTTTTAACATTGAATTTTGCTATAAAAGAATTCTTTTCCACATTGATAAATATTAAATAAATAATTATCCATATATTATAAAAATCTTGAAAATTCTAAACACTGAATAAATAAATAATATATGACACAAGAAAAGGAATATAAAGTTGTAAAAGATGATGTGCTGGACAATTTCTTATTAAATTATAATTATCCTCAATGTTTATTTTTATTTAACGAAAATTTGATTTGATTGGCTACCTTTTTTTCTATTGTAGTTGGATCTGAGACAGTAGCAGACGATGAAGAATGTCACATTTTCATCACGGTCGCCTCGTTCTGGTTCAAAAGCCGTTCGCCAAACGACGGTTTGCAAGGCTTGCAAACCAGGCAGCTCGAAATCAACTGGGACCCGAACCTTTGCATGGGAAATTTGCATAGCGTGTTTTTAACTTCAAAAGATCCACAAAGCGCAAAGTGCGTAACTTATTTTAGTGAAACATGGAAATGAAAACTTTTAATTATATTTAATTATTTTTTTAAATATAAAATTGTTAATCGGTTAAATTTGTCTATCTCGTTATGCTTAAAAATTACTTGACCGCTGAGAATTTTGCAACAAAAACCGAATAAAAAAATCCACCAGTCTTCTTAATGCTAATAAAAAAAAAATATTAATAACTATCAAATATAGTTTTAGCCTTGATGGAAGCTTTTTGGACAGCGCTGTTTGCATGCACCACCCTGCAAATTTTTACCGCACCAATGTTACTCTGGGTCGTCCGCGTCTACCAGGTGGATGGGACAAAGACACCGTTATCCAGAATGAAGTCAATAGTGTAAGTATAATTTTGCCTAAAATTTAAGCTTTATTGACAGTGCGATGTAAAGAACAAAAAAAAAGAACACAAAGAACATAATTTGTGCGGTCTGCCTTTTTCCAGTCAAACAAGTGACTGGTTGATAACAAAAATGATTCATTTAAAATTTTTATTTCTGCATCATACAATTTGAACATTCTTCAAAGGCTTCCAATAAACCAGAATCTGGAGATCACTGCCTGCCGTATTGGATTGCAGGCTTTGACAAAAGTGGAAATCTATTGTCGTCCGATTGCTTGAAAATCAGACCAACTTGGATGGGAGATATGAAGTAAAATAAAATTAATTCATCCGCAACCCAAAATATCTAATTTTAATTTTCAATGACCAAATGTTAGATCGCAAATTGCTGGAGCTAAGGTAAGTCAGCTCATGATACCTGGCACGCACAACTCTGGCAGCTTCTACGGGAAGGACATCCAGTCCAGGGGAGACGTTCTTTATCGTTTTACGCGCACGCAGGATGAAGACGTGTGGGAGCAACTCGTCTGGGGTGCCAGGTACCTTGACCTCAGGGTCGGCTATTACAAAAACAAAAAGGGCAAGTGAAATTATTTATTAAATTTACCCCTTTATAAATTTCTAATAAAAACAGAGTCGTTTTGGATCAATCACGCGCGGGAGAGAATCACCGAGCTGAGACCAGTTTTGCAGGACGTGGCCCGATTTTTGCGTGCCAGTCCACACGAGTTTGTGATCGTGGACTTTCACCGATTTCCGGTCGGGTTTTCCGGAAAATTTCAGCAGTACGCCGTTCGGCACAGGTGGCTGGCAAATTTGATAAAGGAAGAACTTGGCGAGTTCGGAGCACCGGTGAGAAATTGATAATTATACAGACAATTATTTTTCTAAAAAATTTAATTTAGGCAAATCCTTGATATGCCTGTTTAATTTTTCACCTCTATTCAATTATTTGTCCTCCATGTTTTTGTCAATTCATTAATCCAAATATTTATTTTGTGTTGAAATAAGAAAATCCAACGCTTAATTGAAGTACAGCCCACACTACAGGTCACATTGTTTGATTTTTACTTTTACTTCACTTTAATTATCCAATGCAGCTGAAATAAACGCCTGAGTGTAAATTTCAACCTTTAATCTAGTTTTATATTTATTTGAAAATGTTGTTTTTAGTTTCTTATTTGGAGAACTAATTTTTAATTATATTTTCATTTTCCGATTTCCGATTCTTTACAATTAACCTTAAAGTGAAAAATCGATTAATTTATTTTGTGCCCTCAAAACTTTATTGTTTGATGTTTGCGGTGCGTGTAACTTGACGCAAACACACGTTTGTTTCACGCGCAGTGTGTGTTCATGGGCAGTCCTCAGCTGAGCGACCTTTGGCACAGCGGCAAGCGGGTGTTGGTCTATCACGCCGAGAGGCATGACGTGCACGTGAACTGGAACGACAACTGGCTTTGCGCACCCCTGCTCCAAGCGTGGGGCAACCAGCAGAACGCCACCGGCCTCAGAAACTACATGGAGGTGAGAGCAAAAATTTGCATTTTTTTTGAACAGAACAAAACTGGCGAAATAACAATAAGTCGATGCAAAATTATTTTAAAAATGCACAAAATTTTAGGGTCCATTCCAATTTCCTTTTGCATTATTTTTTAATTTCAGTTCTTCGTTAATTTTTATTTTGTCAATTAATTTAATAATTTTTGTAAAGTAAAAAGTAACAAAATGAAATATTAAAAAAGCTGAAAATATGTTTGTTGATGATTTTATCGCATATTATTATTATTACTTTCTAGGGAGCTCTGCATAAATTCGCAGGACGACCCATTCCTTGGTCAGTCATGGCCGAGTTGACCCCAAATTACTCTGACGCGATTCTAAGGCCGCAAAGGGGACTGCGAATGATGGCAGACGACATCAACCGAAGCGTCACTCACTGGTTCAGACACTTTTGGTGGAGGGATGCTAACATCGTGGCCACTGACTTCCTCTTAGGAAACAAAATTATCGACGTGGCCATCGAGGCCAACGAAAAGAGATTTCCAAAGTACGAAGCCAAATCTTACTACAGAAACTTCTCATAAATAATGGGGGGGGGGGGGAGATATCTATTATTAAATAATTGTGATCGATTTTCGAGAATTCCGTTTTTGGAAAAATGATTTGAATTCAATCGAATTTTTTGTAGCAAGAACTATTTAAGCATTATGTTTAATTAAATTTGTATATATTATTCAATATTATTCAAAACTTAAAATATTGTTGTACTTTAATTTTAAAGACCCACAAATAAACGCTATAGTTATTATTAATAAGTATCTAATGAGAAAATATATTGAAACGCTTTCCATATAATCAATGCAAATTTTTAGTCCATTGAAGACCGGCAAAATTTTTACTCCTTATTTAATTCTGCAATCGAAGTTTAATTGAAGAGCGCCGTCCAATAATGAATAGCTGCATATCCCACGGCAGACAAACGTTTAATCGAGTTGTAATTGAAAAATAATTGAGCACATCCGATGCAATCGCCGCTTCTTTCCTGGCAATTTTCGATGGCGCGATTGACAAGGGAACGCATGCGTCCCTCCCGATCTCGCATCTCGCCGAGGGAAACCAAGATCGCATTCTGCCAGTTTCGCACCTACCCTTATATCCGCGTACACGCACCTGCTCCAGGTAATCTCCACCCCTTTCACTAAGTAAGAATCTCGCACGAAAATCAATCAATTAATCCGCAGAGATGGAGAAGTCGGTGGCCGCCGCAACACCTGTGGCTCCGTTCGAATCGTCGTCGATGGACGAGCTGAGCGAAGAGGAGACGACGCTGATAATCGGCCTGTGTGTGCTTATCATCGTCGTCTTCATAATTCTCGTCGGCAGCGTCATCCTCTGCCTTTCGCTTCGCAGGGGCGAAACCTTCCTGTGGGACACGGCGGAAAGAGAGGCTCGTCGTTGCTCCAAGCAATCCTCGCTAGAAGCGGCAGAGCAGTAAAAATTACTTTATCATTAGAAAAAAAAATAAAAAAATACTCGAAACGGGATAATATTTTTGTAACGGTTTTGTATTTTTTTTTATCATTTGAAAATTTGTAACGTGACATTTTCAATAATATGATATTTTCCGAATTCCAATTGATTCGCTTCGATTTGGATTTAACAAAATGCGCTCCTCGGCTTTTCTCATCCTCCTCGTTGAGAGTTTACTCAAAGTTTGTGCCACCTCTCGTCCCAGCAGGGCTTCTCTATTGTCTTAATAGTTGCTTTTGTGTGTACACACTTGGGCCAATATTCAAAGACGCAAAACGCAAAGTGCTTGCAGTGCTGCGTCAACTTTTGCCTGCCAGCAGGTTTTTCACTCTACGTAACCTCTCCAAACGCTGCACCAAAGATAAAAGTATATAAGAAAAACGCACTTTTTTATTGTTATAATAATAGAGAGTGACTTACTGCTGTTCCTATTGGCCTATATTATAATTAATTACATAGCTAGGGCCGTTAAATTTAGAAAACAGATTATTTTCTTCCAATGTTAACACATGGAAGATCAAATTTGCTTGAATTATAAAATTTCAAAACGATTGAAGCACAATTCAACCCATCTAAAAACCCCCACGTAAACCAGTTATTAAATTACTTAATTTTCGTGGCCCAAGTTATTGCATAAAAACTCTTGTCTTTCTGGTTACATGTTTGTTGGGGCAGGCGAAAGATAATGTTATTTAAAAAATCGCAAATACAAAATAAGTATTATTTAATAATAAGTTTATTTGCATTTATAACAAAATTTTATTAAAACTTTTTGAGCTCAGTGTTATGAATGAAATGATTAGTTTTTCTATTTCAAAATAGACTCTTGAATTTATTCTGATCTTCAATTACATAATATTTATGTATGATGATTGATGATTCTCACTAAATAACACAATAAAATAAGCGTGTTCAATGTTAGCAGATCACCCTAGCGTGTTTCATTAATGGCCATCATTATATTTCCTTTCTCGAATCTTGGGTGTGCATGTACATCTTCAGTTTTTTTTGGAAATAATGACACGAAACCCGATTCCCTCTGAAACTTGACGAGATTCTGGCAGAGAAAGTCCTAAATTATCGGCAGGCGGGGCAGAAAAAACGTCACCAAAGTTCGTTTTCCTGCGACTAGGCAGGCAGGGGTTATTAGACGCAATGTTCTTTTACGAGAATGTTTATACTGCCGGAGCTAGAAGGGGCCTTCAACAGACCGCAATTTATACTCTCGCTCTTATTCCTCCCTCATCTATAGACTGCTCCAAGTTCAATAACAATTTTTGCTGGTGTCTGCCCGGCAAGTCAGCAGAATTTATTTAACAGGGCGAGGAATAAATAGGACTGTTGTTGTGACTCGTCTGGCGAGATTTTTCTTTAAATCTCTGCTAATTTTTATTAACTTTTTCTCAAAATCAGGAATAGGAAAACATACATGTATTGAATTTGAAGCATATTTGTTGAAGAACTAGAAGGCATGATGAATATCAAAATCATGATTAATCTGTTATAATTACTACTGTTAAAAAATTCCTTCCTTCTCCAAAAGTAAGCCATTTTTCACAAATCGCTGCAAGTCCTTTCAATCTGGCTAAATACCTAGTTGGTCACCGCGCAAAATAGCTAAATACCTGGCTGGTCAGCGCGCAAATTGGCTAAATACAGCAAACTCAATTTTACAGGAGAGGGTAAAATGCACAGCGATTTCCTTGGACTTAATTTTGAGTGTCTGGCGCTTACCTATTGAAAAAATGTTGATGGAAAATTACTAATGGACATTAAAATTAAACTTAATTATGTTGAATCAAATAACAGTGAGGAAAAACTTATATTTTTTTGGGTAAAAAAAATTATCCAAATTTAAAATAATTAAAAAAAAATACCTTTGTTAATTTTTAGGATGAAAAAATTTGATTTTGAACTTATAAAAAGATATAATTTAATTTTCAAGGCCAAAATTGCTGTTTTTTTGCCGTAAGTTGATGTTGAGTAAAGTATTGCAAAAAGGTCTGTATCTCGGTAACTAATAGTCCGAATTTGAAAACTGATAGTGAAAATGACCGCAAAAATATGTTTTTTCTAATAAATGTTTAGTTTGGAATTTTAGAATTTTATTGGTTTCCAAAATACCAGCTTAAAAAATAATATTTTTTAAAAATTAAAAAATTTAAGCGAAACGCTGTATTAATTGATTTTTAATCCAAGAAAACAAAAATTGACTTTATTTTGAGCAATTTCATTGTCATTTTTTTTTAAATTTGGTCCAGCCGTTGCTGAGATACAGGCCTTGAAAGAAACCCTTGAATTCAACTTCATATATATAATTCAAAATATTTTTGACCTTAAAAATGCATGTTATTTGAAAAAAAAATGTCTCGTGTGAACAAAATTTCAAACATTTTAAATTAGTTTCATCATAATTCTGATTATTTCTAAATATATCCACATACAGTGCTAATTTTGATACCTTGGCTTGCAGAGCTGCATTAAATTAACGTCAAAATTAATAATTTTTTTCACAGGAATTTATTTGTCTTATTTTCTTGGGTTGAAATAGCTCATCAGGAGTCCATTTTTACGGCGGGATTGAGTTTGGTCAAAACAGTATTTAGCCAATTTGGCATTTGGACTTTGGACATTTTGGCATTTAGCTACTTTGCACGCTGACGAACCAGGTATTTAGCCAGATTGAAAGGACTTGCAGCGAAATTAAATTTTTCCACATTTTATACTTACTTTAAGTAAGGAAGAAGTGAATCTAGAAGATTGTGAATTAGATGATCTAATTTACTAAATCCTCTTTCACAGGATAACATGTATGAAAATGCAATGAAACCACTTAATATAATAATAATACAAATATAAACAGTAACAGGTCTACTTTTGAAAAAATAATTTATAAGAATAATTATCAATTTAAAAATGTACACGAACATTTTAAAATACCTTATGTGGTATAATAATATGTCGAATGAGCAATAACGAATTGAATTGAGTTTTTCCCTCATTTTTCTTTAAAAGTAATGATAAAATTAAGAGGTTAAAGTTCAAAAGTGCATGAACTGAAAGTACTACATCAAAATTTAATTTATATAATATGAATAGTGAGATGGTATAAGATGTTTTACGGTTGCAAAAGAGGATTATATTGCATAGGTTAAAGGTGCAGTTTTGTGTCGGGATCACCTCTATTACCGGGGCTGCAATCCGCTGATTGCTCACCTCCATTGCCCATGCATACATTGGTTTCTCTCTCATTTCTGCCGTGCTCGCAACTCGCAGAGAGAGATGAGATGTAATGATAAAGTGTGATCCTGCAACGCTCGTTCGCCCCACCGTGGATAAATATGGTAAATATGCACGCCAGCATTTCATTTCCCCAGTTTTCCTTGTCAGCAGTTCCATTCAATCAACTGGCAAATTACGTCAACAACGCGCGCACACCAACCTGGCAAATAAATAAATCTGCACGTCGATCGGCAGTCAATCCAATATTATCTCCTTTAATTTCGAAAACGAATTTTACCGATTATTTCTCAGGTCTATATTTACACCAATTTTATATAATTGATTTTAATTATAGATTATGAGAGGCTTTCAAAGGATTTCATATGAATTTTAAGTGTTTAAAAAAATTGAAGCTTGAACCCATGGACTCTCATTGCCTATCATTGCCCAAATTTTTGAGACTTTAAATTTGGTTTTGTTTGTGTGATTCGGTGTGATTTATTTCCTCACAACAAGAACAACAAAAATGTATTATTTATTGCTTAATTACACTATAATCTACAATATCCAAGCGTAAATTAAACCAAGACCGGGCTGAATCTCGTTGCAAAAAGGTTGTTGATTCAGTTGCAAAGAAGGTTTATTTGACTTACAAAAATGGCAATTGAAACTGACGATCAATAAAAAATTTACTTATTTTGAAAGATCATGATATAATTAAAAAACAAACCAAAACAAAACAAGAAAGGTAAAAAAACTATAAAATAGTTTTGCACATAAATAAATCATTAGTAACAAACAAAAAACACAATCAAACATAAGCAATTATAAAGAGCAAGGAAAATAACAAACAAACACAACAGGCCCCCAGCTTAGAAACTAAAATTTCTTATGTCCATGAATCCATGAAAAATATTAAGGGTAGAGAATTTTTTTTTTTTCAAATTTGATATGTATAAAGATCCGATTTTAAAAGAAAAAAAAATTGAAAGAGAATTTCAGCAGAATAGTCTAAAAACAGTTTCAAGCAACAATATTTTTAACAAGATTTCATGAAATTCATCTTAAATGTTAATTTTTAGAGTCATCTAGTTAGTTTCTGTGATAAATAAATAATAAATATTTTTTGTTTCAAATAAATAAATAACAAATTTAAGTTGGCTATATTGTCACGGTGTGACATAGCGGATAAGCTTGATTCAGGTATTAGCGCACTGTCAGCAGTACAGCGTACTGGCGGACACGGGCCTTGCAGCCAGGGCAGTCGTACACGGACCGTACGGGCAGTCGTACACGAGTCATGCACTAGGGCAGTCGTGCATCAGGCGCACAGAAAGTCGTACAGCAGCCATGCACCAGTAGAGTTGCACCTCACTGAGCAGTTGGACCAGAGTGTCCAACGAGACGCCGTCACCATGGCCGTCATCCAGTGAACCTACATGGACAGTCACCTACGAGTCACCCACACAAGCAATTCCGACCATAATCATTGTACCGTCCGACGCCACACAATAAATCCATCCATAGTGTTATCCAGAACTCTCGTACTACCATTTCTACCTTTTTACACCCTGTTACGAGGTCCTCTACTACTAGCACGGTGTCACTCTCAACCACACAGAGGGCCTCGTGACAATATTATTTAAATTTTGCAATTTTTATTCCGTATTTATGATGCAAAATCGTCTGGCAATGACGGCTTATAATAAGTAAAATTAGTTAAGTATTGTGGATATTTAAGACACTTGTTTCAAACGCTTTTAGCGCTTTTCGACTAAGGTGGTTGCACGTCTATGAGTGTAAATGGTATAAATCAGGCATTATATATAATCGTGGTGGATGCTTGCGCTTCTTGATTGGTGGTTGCAGGTCTATATAAGTGTAGAAGTTGTAAGAAAATGGTTTTATAATTAGACGTGGTGAAACCAAGCACTGGAAGTGCTTCTAGTCTGATGATTGCAGGACTAAGATACAAATTTGTATAAGTAAAGCTTCAATTAAAATAATTGGATATGCTAGCGCTTCTCGACTGGTGGTTGCAGGTCTCTGTGCAGAATTTGTGAAAATAAGGTTTTAAAAGTACACGAAGTGAAACCCAGCACTAGAAGTGCCACGAGTCTGAAGATTGTAGGACTGAAATAAAAAAATTAAGCTTCATTTAAAATGGTTGGAGATTCTCGACTGGTGGTTGCAGGTCTCAGTGAAGAATTTTTGAAACAAAGGTTTTAAAAGAAGACGAAGTGATACCCAGCACTAGAAGTGCTATTAGTCTGATTATTACAGGAACAAGATTAAATATTGTAAAAATCGGGCATCAAATATAATCGTGGGGGAATCTAGCGCTTCTCGACTGGCGGTTGCAGCTCTCTGTGGCCTGTGCAGAATTTGTGAAAATAAGGTTTTAAAAGTAGAAATGATGAAACCAAGAACAAGAAGTGCTACTAGTCTAGTGATTACACTGATTACAGAAAATAGATTAAAAATTGTAGAAATCGGGCATCAAATATAATCATGGGGGTTTTTCGATTGGTGGTTACAGGTCTATGAGCGAAAATTGTATAAATTAGGAATCAAATATTATCGTGGAGGGTGGAGGATGCAAGCGCTTCTCGATTGATGGATGCAGGTTTATGTGCAGAATTGGATAAAATTAGGTTTTAAAAGTAGCTGTGGCGAAACCAGGCACTAGATATG